CCTGTTGAGCTGAGTACATCTCCCTGTCAATGCCAATCTTCACATCGTTGCAAAGGTCCGTGAAGATCTTGATGCTCAGCTCCACCGGTAATCTTCCTTCTCTGCGGTCCGTAAGCATTGCGGAGGTCGTCTGGCCGACGTGCTGCATGACCCCGATCAGGGTCGGTATCTCCCTGAATTCTGAAGGACATTTAAGTAGTTCGAGATACATGCAGTCCAAAGGTGAGTCCTGGGCCCCTCGTAAAATCCGTGAGACGGTTTGCAGCCATTGCATCAATCAATACAGGGGCATTTTATGAGTCGTTCATTTTTTCGGGTCTTCCGTTGAACAGCCTCTCGGGGTATCCATGTTATTCTTGGTGGTCCTCCTCGAGTGGTGGACATCTGCTTCGGAGTACTTGTGACCAGCGAGATGTGCGTCTCCATGTGCCCTGCTAGGGCCCCATATGCTACGTCCAGTGCTGCTTGGCCTGCTTCCTGCGAGATCCCTCTCTACAGTTCTGGACACATGTGCCAATGTGGCCTGAAGGTCTTCCCATTCCGATGCTTCGAGGCTGGGCCCAAAAGGCCTGTGGATCGGAAGTTGCTTGGGATTGACATGATGTTGCACCTTCTCCTTACTGCTGATCCTGCTGCAAAGGACGACTGGGTGGTGTGGCGGTGGCAACGGATAGTTCGTCAACGACTGCACTGAATCGATCATGAGACCGATCGAAGGCGAGGCCAGACAGTAGTTAGTCTTGGTCTGCAAACGCGATGTCGAGCAATTGTGATCTCTGGGACTGATTAACTGCAGGGTGGCTCTACTCAGAAAGTCAGTCTGCGTAAACTTGTTAGGGTTCATCTGGTAGTCCCCCCCGGCGAGAATCGGAAGCTGTCACTGATCTTGGAAATGAGCTAGCTCCGAGAGTATCTTCAGGTTTGCTTCTGAAAACCCTGCCGAGTGCACCAAATAAACACTAGCCAGGACGAACTTTCCAAAATCTGGTGCCTCCTGAATGACTGCACGGAGCCTGAGTGGGTGTGTTACTGTTGACTGGCTGAATTGTGTTACGCCAAAGTGTAGGCCGTCTCTAACCAATATGGCAACACCTCCTGACCACTTGCCCGACGGTAGCTGTTTGGATAAACCAAAATCAGCTTTCCACCCTCTAGCTTCACACTGCTCTACTGCCTCTCGCACCTGGTCTGCTGACTCGATGCGGGTCTCCTGCAGGATGAGAACACTGGCCTGCTGGAACCTATCATCAGAGAGTCGGTTCTTAAAGGATGACCATGCGTTGATATTTATAGTGGACAGTTCTAATGTCCAAACCTCTTCATGGCGCCCTACTCTTTTTTGTGACGGCACTTGATGGAGTATTCCTTCTGGGGAATGTGCTTGGTCGGGTATTGGGCCAGATGGGCTAAAGCAAACACCCACCCCCAGTCGCCACAGCCGGCTTCATCCCTCCGCCATCGGATGAAGCCGAGCTCTGGCCCTTCTCTTGAAGCTGCTGTAGTATAGTCTCCATCGCCTTCTCTACTGCGTCATCCCCGGGGCCTCGACTGTCTTGCGGAGGTTTGGGCTCAGCCTTAACCTGTGCCGTCTTGCCAGCCTTCGGGGCCGAAGACGACAACGTTGCCGAACGATACCTAGCTGCCAACTTAGCTGCACTCCCAGACTGCAGCTGCTTCCAGCACTCCACACGGGGCGCTGTAGGTGGAGCTGGTCGCTGGTCTTCGGCTTCGTCCGGCCGGATGTTTCAGCGTGCCCTCGTCCGAAATATCTTGTGCATCTTCTTCGCCCTCCCCCGGAACAAGTTCCTCCCTCATCATCGTGTCCTGTGCCCCCGGGTCATCTGCTGGTTCCTCCTGCTGCTGCCTCTCCTGAAGCATCACCGCATAGAGCGTGGATGCCAATTGAGCGAATGCAATTGCCTGCTGACCTTGACCCTGCACCTGGGGAACGTGCTGCAATATCTGACCCTGAAAATCGTCCAGAAGTGTCTGAAGAGCTCCGTCGTGTTCTTGTTGTACTACTTCAACGTGCTCTGCTGCAGCCTTCGATGCGACAGCTGCTACGCGTGCTTGCAACTGCTCGACCTGCCTGGCCAAGTTCTCGGCCTCCTCTGCCAGGAGGATTGGAATACTTGGCATCGTTCGGACGTGTGGATTTTTCCTTCGGCGAGGGCCATCGAGGAACATCCTTGATCATCTGGCGAAACAGCCACGCACGAAGCCGACAAAAGCACAGGGAATGGACGTCCGAGCGATGGCCAGACTAAGGAGGAGAGAGAGCGAGAGAGTGGAGGAGTAGAGAGGGAGAGAGAGAGAGAGAGAGAGAGTGGAGGGGGAGGAATAGAGGAGGTAGAGAGTGGAGGGGGGAGAGTGGAGGAGAGAGTAGAGAGGGGGAAAGAGAGAGAAAGAGAGAGAGAGAGAGAGAGAGTGGAGGGGAGCGTGGAGGAGCAGAGGGGGGTAGACCTGCTAGTTGGCACGAGGAGGAGAGAGAGCGAGAGTGAAGGGGGAGGGAGCGGGTGGAGGGGGGGACTGCGCGTGCATGCCGCGTACACCGCCTCGCACGCCCTGCCCTCGTCCGGGGAGCTTCTGGGGGGCTCTTCTTTGGGGGTCGCGCAGGTCCTTCTGTCGGGCTCTCCTCCCTGCTCTTCTCCCCTGCCCTCCTCCTCCTCCTCCTCCTCCTCCTCCTCCTCCTCCTCCTCCTCCTCCTCCTCCTCCCTGCTCCTCTCCCCTGCCCTCCTCCTATCCTCCTCCCTCCTCTGTCTTCTGTCGTCCTTCCTCCTTCCTCCTCGCTGCGTGTTTCATCCTCCATCGTCTCCCCCCTCCCTGCCCCCTTTCCCGCCCTTGTTCTGTCCCCCTCCCCTCCTCCTTTCTCCCCGCGGCCGTTTGGGCTCAGAGCAGCTCCCTGGAAGCTTCCCAGCGCCATCCTCACGACGTTTCCAGGCACCTGGCAGCGACCAGCCCTCTCTGGCAAGGCCCAGGGCTCAGCCCCGGCTGGCCCCTACGGGCCCCCAGGGTAGTCCGCGGCGCGGTTTCTCAATGCCCCCTCGTTGCCTCAGGCGGCGCCCTCTGGGTTCCCTCCTGGGGGGCTTTGCCCAGAGCTCGAGGGGAGTGTTTCTTCAGCCCGTGTGCCACAGATCTCTCGACCCCCGTGGCCACTGTCACATTCAAGATTCTTTCCCAGCCATCCTGTGGCGTTGGGTGCTCGTTTTGGGGAGACAGCGCCCCGCGTCCCTCAGCGCCCCGCGTCCCTCCCTCCATCCCGCCTCCTCCCGCTCCTCCCTCCTCCCATCCCTGCCTCTGCCCTTTGCACGCCAATCGTTTCTGCTCACCCCTCACACGTTTCGTGACCCCAAAGGGAGCTCCACCGAAGGGCCCAGTGGCAGCGCCCGCATGCGGCTCCACCCCCAGTTTGGTGTACACCCCCAGTTTGGTGTACCCTTCGCACGGTGCGTGGCCCCATAGAGAGCCCCAGCTCCACCGAGGACCAGTTTTTCATCCCGAGTCGTTTTCTGATGGTCCTGGGGCATGGTAGGGGCTGAAGATCGCCAGAAGCCTCCCACCGCGAACTCTTCACGACACGAGGGGGTCTGTTGCCCTGCATCTTCGGGAGACATCGTCTGTCCCCCCGTTGGATATCTTTTACTGTGCCCGACGCGGGCTCGATGCGGACTTGATGCGTGTGTGGCGTGGGTTCGACGCAGATTCGACGCGGATTCGACGAGGCCGACATGGATTCGACACGGATTCATCGCGGCTCGGGGCACGACCCGACAGACGGGGTCCCCCGAACATGCAATGCGACACAAGATTTGTGCATGGTGACCCCCGCCCCGCACGTCGCGCTGAGCCCCAGGCCTTGCCAGTCTAGGCCCCCCAGATGGGGTCCGAGCAGGTGGGGCCGGAGGGTCGCGCGCATCGCCGACGCATCGGCGATGCGGCTCGATGCGGAGCCCGATGTTCTCCACGCTGACGACGCCGATGCGTCGCCAACGTCGCCGGCGCATCGCCACAATGTACCGGCGGTGCATCGTCGATGCAATGGCGATGCGGCGCGATTTTTGCAGGAGCGAAAGGAGGACGTACACGTACATCAATATACGTTGGTTTCGAAAGTACGCATTGCGCGAACGTCCGTATCACGAGGCTGGTCTCGCGGACTTTGTGGCCGTATTCACGTACGTGGTCGGGCGCGCACGTCTTTTGTAGGCTCCTCAGTCTTCCAAGCCCAACTGCTCTGACGTAAATCCGACGTAACCCGGCGTGAACGAACCCGTCCTGAATCCGACGTGGACCCGACGTAACTTGCGGCTCAAACTGCCACCCGTGGTCTCCAGGACCTTCCTCATACGGAAGGTTCGCGTCGTGTCGCTCGGCGGCGACCCCGCCGCTGGCGTCTAACGTTGAACGCCGCCGGCGACCCAGAATCGGTCAATGTCAAACGATCTGACGTTTCGGCAACGGCTGATCGTTCAAGGTGGAGCGGTCCCCGCGGTGTCAGGAACCAACGCCGAAGTCGGCACGGCACGAACCTGCCCGTGCGCCCTCGCTGGGCTCCCTAGCATGACGTCGGCATGTCCCTCTACAGGAGGGGTCGATCATGTTTTTGACTATGTCTGACTATTCCTGAACATTGTTTTAAAGATTCTTGGACTTGTCGTCCAAGATCCTCCTGTAGGAGGACCTGCCCGACCTAACCCTTCCTCCCTTCTCCTCCCTCTCCTGCTGCTTGGTCCTCCTCCCTCCTCCATCCCGAGGCCTCCAGGGTCTTCCTCATCACCTGAGATCCGACGCTGCAACGAACAGATGCAACGCCGCACAAAGTGTCACGCCCGCAGCCCCGGACACCCGGCTCGCTCTGCGAGGGCCGACTCGCTCTGTGAGGGCCCCTTGGGCCCGAAGCTTGGCGCCAACGCCCGTGGTGAAGAAGTCGCAGCGCCAGGACCTCAGGGTCCTCACCGCCTCCTCCGACCCCATCCGCGAGGGTCTCCACGCAGCTCGCCATGGCCCGCTCCGGCCGCTGCCCACTCCTGCCCCTGGCGCTCCTCGCGGCGCTCGCCGCGTGGGCCGGCGCGCCCGCCTTCGTGCCCGCCCCGCGCGGCGTCCCCGGCGCCGCCCTGGCCGCCGGCGCGGCGGGCGCGGTGCCCTTCGCGGCATACGCGGAGGCGCCGACGACGGCAGCGACGTCGCTCATCGAAGAAGAGAGAAGTCGAAGCAGACGAAGAACACGACAAACCACAAGAATAGCAGTGAGAGCAATAGGAGTACCAATAACACTAGCAATAGTCGTACTGATACTAACAATTAGAATCGTAATAATGATTACTCATTGCGTGGAGCTCCCCATCTGTGCATCTCATGTTTTATGTTTTATGTCATGCCGTAGTGAGCGTCTGTCCAGGAGCGTTTGAGTATAATAGCGCGTCCACATGGGCGACAGGGCCGACGAAGACGAGTGAATCCTAATGCGAGTGAGTGAGTATGTGTCAGAGTGAGGTTTGAGTATGATTGAATATGAGCCTCCCATCCTCAGCTGCCAGGCCGTGCCCTCCTCAGCCTGTGGTAATGTGCATATGCTTTAGGATAGTTGGAAATGGGAAATGTAAAACGAGCGTTTAGCCACACGTGCGTCCCAGAGGTTACGTGCGTCCCAGTTGGTACGTGTGTCCCCTGCAGTCTCCTCCGTGCGTCCCAGAGGGTACGTGCCGGAGCACGACCCAAGGGAGCAGCACGCCTCATCTCCTTCCTCCGTGCGTCCCAGAGGGTACGTGCCGGAGCACGACCCAAGGGACCAGCACGCATCCTCCCTCATCTCCTTCCTCCGTGCGTCCCAGGGTGTACGTGCCGGAGCACGACCCAAGGGACCAGCACGCCTCGACTCTTTCCTGCAGCGCCCCCGTCGGCGCGCCAGGGGGAGAGAAGCTGGGCTCTTCCTGGGTTACGACCGACGTCAAGGACTGCTTCTACGGGATGCTCATGCCGCTGGGCCTCCCGAAGTTCCCCCCCCCTTTCCTGCTGCTCCTGCCCGCGTAGTTGGTCTGGGAGTGCAGGGGCTGGAAGGGGCGAGGCTGGGTCCTGACGCCCCGGTCTTTCCCTGCATCTGCGCGCTCCCCATGGGGTTTTCGTAGGGCGCTAACGAGGAGAGGGCCCTGCGATGCGACCGATGGCCTGAGGGGGCAACAGCAGACGCGGAGAGGGTCTCGATGAGCGACTTAGGCCCCCCACTCGCGGTGGAGGTTGGCCCGGGTTGGCGCGGGGGGGCCCGCGTCTACGCGGACGACGCGGGCGCGCTCACCTCCTCGGAGAGCCTGGCCACGGGCATCCTCGAGGATTGGGCCGGCTTGCTTGAGGCTGTCGGGCTGGACATGCACAAGAGCACCTTCTCCTCGGGCGCGTGCGAGGCGCGCGGGGCCAATCTCGACCTCGAGCTCCTGGGATCAGGCGTCAGCGACAGTCGCTTCTGGAAGGTCCACCTTAGGCTGGGAGGCCTTCCCGCCCGCGGGCGAGCGTCAGGGCGGGCCTTGGAGATGGTGCTGGGCCCCTGCGCCTCCTGCAGGCTCGCCCTTCGAAGGTCGCTGAGCTGCCGGTGCGCCTCGAGCCGCTTTGCGCAGTGCCATTTACCTGGAGACTGCGCGCCCGTGGTCGGATGTGGCCATGCATGGAGATCCTGATGTTCCGCAGGTTCTTCGTCCTCGTGGTCCAAGACTGGTGAAGGCCACGGGGCCGCCGCGTTCTCCAGACCGGCGCCGGCGAGAGCGGCCGGGGAATAGCGCAGTCGTTCTGGCCCCAGAGTGCGGCGGAGCAGGTGGGCAGGCTGCCCGAGCGGGCTCGCTTTCGCGCCGCTCAGGGGCGGCCGGCGCGAGAGGGCGCGCTCGCAGCTGCCAGCCTTGCCTTAGACGGCTCTGGCGCCCTGCGCAGTTTTGTAGACGAGGAATCCTGACCCGCTTGTTTCTGACCGCCTGTCCTCTCGGGAGCTTGACCCCGACTTCGATGAGGTCCTAGTGGCTCCGCAAGGGGGTCCAGCAGATTGTTCGGTCGGGGGTCTGGCGTTTCCCCGAAGGCATCCTGATCTTAGATGCCAGGGCCCCGGTGGAATCCATCCACCGGCTCGCAAAGACCTCGCGCGGGGCATGCGTGCGGCCACTTTTCATGTCCGACAATAGGTATGTGTTTCTGTTTGTTTAATGGCTCGTTCGTCCTGCTTCAGTTTGCTGGTGCAGATCCGTCGTTCCTATGCGTGCGCAATCGCGATGGAGCTCTCGCCCGCGTTTCGATGGACCCCTTTCTGAGTTTAACGAGAGCGACGAAAGGTGGCTGATTTTTTCAGCAAGCGACACTAAGATTTTGACGTCACTTCTCGATGATAAGTCTCGGTCCAGTTTGAACATGAACACCCGTCCTCCAAGAGCCGCCGACTCTTCTAGATCTTCTGTCTGCGCCCCCTAATGTAATCATTTTGGCTCCAAGTTGTCTAGCCTTGCAGAGGTCACCGAGCCGCCCAGCCAGTCTGACTCACTCAGGCACGGCGCCGAGGCCGCAGCAGAGGGCGCGGACGTTGGGCCCGCCGGCGCCGCGAGCGCCGGCGCCCCCAGCCCGTCCAGTCGCCCGACGGCCAGCGGCGCGGACTCGGGAGCCGGTGGCAGGGGGGCCGGCACGAGCTCGCCTTCGGCCTCGATGGGGGGCCGTGGAGGCCGCTGGCCCAAGCTCGGCGAGGAGGGCGAGGTCGGTGGCGCCCGCCCCTCTTCTGCACCCAGCGAAGAAGACTGCTCGGGGCGGGCGGCACTTCGCCGCTCTCGACGAGAGGGGCGCGAACGGGCTGGACCTCGCTGGAGACGCAGGGGAGGGCGCCGAGGGCGACGGCAGCTCAAGCGGCACCGGCCCCGGCGGTGGCGCACCTCGGGAGGGGGCGCGCGAAAACTCGGCAGCTGCGCGCGCGGAGGTCACATCGACGGGCAAGGCTGCATGCCGACTTGCGGCCTATAGGAGGCGGGCCCGAGCCTCCTAGAGACCCTGGCGGTGACGACGGCCGCGAAGATGAGGTGCCATCGATGCCTCGATCGTTTCTGCTCGGACGTCGGCCTGGCCCAGCAGCAGCTTGCGCGGAGGCGGGATGCGGAGATCGACGAGCTCACGTGTAACTATTTGACCAAACGCTAATTGCAGGGCGAGCAGAGCTGCTTCGGGGGCCAGACGGTGGCGGCCCGGGTCAACGCGAACCCAAGGATCGGCCGCGCAGGGGGCCGCGCGCTGCCACGGACGTGGCGGGCGCTGAAGGCCTGGCGCAGGCTGACTCCTGGCCGTCGGTGGAAGGACCTTGCCCTCCCTGTCTGGTGCGGGCTGGCTTGGAGGCTGGCGGCGAGAGGCCATCTGCGCTCGGCCGTCTTCCTGATGGTGGGCGCCTCGATCTATGCGCAGCCCTCGACCTTGCTGGCAGCCCGGCGGTGCGATCTAGCGCCGCCGACGCCCGGCGCCAGCAGGCGCCGGGCGCTGCCGACGCACCCACGGGTGCAGAGGAAGCCCAGCTAACTGGGGCCTTTCTCCGGGGGCTGCCCCCTGGACTCCCCGCACCTCCAGGGCTCGGGCGCGGTCTTCGAGCGGCTGGCCTCGGCGTCGTCGAAGCAGCCGCTGTGGAACCTCGACTACCCCGAGGCAGCGGCGCTGCTCAAGGAGGCGGCAGAGGACCTCGGGGTGGCGCCGGTTGCGCTATGCCAGATGAGGCACTCAGGCGCCGGCGTCGATCTGGCGAAGGGCTGGCGCAACCCGACCTCGGCGCAGCGACGGGGGGAGTGGGCGCAGGCAAAGTCGACGCACCGCTGCGAGCACAGCAGCAGGCTCGGGAGCGACTACACCAAACTAGACCCTCAGCTGCGCGCGACGCGCGCGGAGGCGGAGAGGCACCTAGCGCCCATCGTGACCGACCAGCCCCACAAAGCGCAGATGTGGCGAGAGTGAGCCCAGTACACCTCGGACATCGGGGTGCGCGCTCTAGGGGCCGGCTCCTACGCTCACGCCGTGGCAATGGTCAGTGCATTTCCGACCTCTTCGCCAGCTGCAGAGCGATGTCTCGAGCGGCCGAAGCCCAAGGACTTCGAGCGAGGGGCTGGGAGGTGATCTATGATGCTGAGTGGCAGGTTTCAATCTTTCTCGCAGTGCTGCATTCCATTGAAGCCGACGGACGCTCGAAACGGCCGACTGGTCACAGTGGTGATGGCTCGTCCTTGCCAAAAGTTTCCTCTTGCGCACGACAGGTCCAAGCCTGTGCGCAGCCGTGAGATGCCGCGGGGTTTTCCTGCCTCACGTCTGGCCCCCCTCGGATGCTAAGGCAGCAGAACTGGGCAACCAGCTTGCGCGAGTAGCTCTGTCCCTCCTCATTGTTTCTGAAACTACGGATTCCCACCAATCTAGAGCATCCCTTGACAAGCCGCTTGTGACACATTGCTGAAGCTTGCGATATGCCGCATCACAATCACGTTTCGATTGCTGAGTTGGACCAGTGCCAATATGGGGCCGAGTGGAAGAAGGCCACTCGGGTCCTGTCCGGGCACGTGAACCATGAACACCTATAAGCTCACCCATCGATGCCGACCACGGGGTTGCATCTGTTCCAAGACAGGACAGCCTCATTGGCAACTCAGTGGCAGGGGGCCAGGCGGCCTCCGCCGTATTCGCGCTGCTTCGGAATATCTTCCGCGGCTGACGCAATCTATGGTCTCAACATTTCTGGCCAGTGCAGTAGAACAACGAGCACGTACATCAAACCCTTTTTTCTTTCCCACCCTAGAGAACATCCAACTTGGATCGATTCTGCATGAGTTACAAGAAAACGAATTCTAAGGCATGCCATTGAGCTCACGAAGCCTCAGGGCACGTTGAGTCCAGAGTTTCGATATAATCAATCACCGCCAAAACAGGGGTCTGTTGCTCTGGAGGTTTCAGAACGGGTTGAGCAGAGGGGCCCTTTAAGTGATGCCATCGTGTTGCCCGGCTCTCTCAGCCATCGCTG